TACCTCTTGTCCACCAACACATCAAGCTGGCCTCACCCAGGACAGCGAGGTACTGCATTCACTGCTGCTTTTTCATTCACTCAAAGTTTTCCTAATTACAGGGAGCTCTTTTCCTACCTTGCAGTTCTCAATTTCACCTCCAGTATTTATTTTCTCCAATAACACCACTATGAAATCCCTCCAGAACACTCTTCTCCCCTAGGAACCTCCCACTCCTCCAGACAGAACACAGTTCTTGAACCTTTCATTATTTACACTCAACTCATTTAAAGAACACTCAGCGTTCTTTAAAAAAAGTGTCTATGTCCCTATCAGCTGAGATTGCAGAAAAGGGGAGGAACAATGAGGTTCCCATTTCAGAGTTCAGACAAAAGTGACAAATGTGACATGCGAAGAGGCAGCTCCAGATTTCCATTCTCATAAGAGGCCCCAGAAACCATTTTTTAAATCATCATTTTTAACTTCTAGTAAGCACTCATTATTTCTGAATCGTTTATTAATGCAGACAGCATTGAGCAGCTATCACTTCTTTTAGGTTTTGCAGCAAAAGTAGCTGAAGAGACTCGACTGAAGACAGACTACTGATCTTATTTTAAAAGCTCGTTCTTTGCATAGAGGTGATGCAGCCTCAGAATCTCTTGGCCAGCAGGAACATCCCAAGATGCAAATTAATTAACATCTTGGTCATGGTTTGTAGTTCAACAGTGTTAATACAGAATCCCAAATATCTTCTGGGCAGCCCGGTCTGGTGGTTGGCAACCCTGCACGTAGCAGGGGGTTGAAACTTGATGATCATTGCGGTCCTTTTCAACCCAGGCCATTCTATGATTCTATGATATCCTGTGGTCACTTGGAATCCACAAAAAACAGAGTTCAAACATCGCAACATTCCTGAAGGAGCTCCCAAAGCTCCAGCCACTCACCCCCAAAGAATCCTACCGTACTGATCCCTGCTCCTGTGTAGATGACAAGGTGCTTGGCGTTCCGGATAGCAGCAGCCAGCTCAGTGACCTTTCTCTTTAGCTCCTCTGGCTCATCACATACCTAGGAAATGCAAATGGGAAGTTTCAGCGTGTTGCTGAGCCTGAAAGAACAGAGAGCTGCTTGGACATTTTGATATGGGTCCATCCTAGCCAGGGAACGCAGCAGACAAATATTATCAGAACGAATATTATCAAAAGGTCTCCTAACTAGAAGAACGTGGGCGTTTGCCATCTGTATTATCTATGAAAGACCAAGGGAAGAAGGTTTCTGGATAGCAGCACACACAGATACAGCCCTCCCAGGTGGCACGGCCATTCAGAGAACCAAACGCATTTCGGAAGAGGTTGGCAGCTGCAAGAAGCAAGGCCGGTGCAGGGAGATCAGCCGAGGACCGGCACAGCAGGGCGCGGTCCCGAGGGACGGGGGCACTCCTGGGAAGGCGGTACCGTCAGTTGTGCCGCAGAACTCCCCCCGCAGCAGGAGCTCAGCGCCCGCGGCAACCCGGAGCGCAAAGCCCCTCCCCGCGGCCGCGGCCCCCGCAGCACCGGCGCGCGGCGGCTCCGACGCGGCCCCGGAGCCGCACCCATCGGGCCCGGCCCGCCCCCGCCTGGCGCCCACCTCCTCCTGCCGCCGGCGCAGCCGCTCGCGCCTCTTGCGGCGCCTCTCCAGCTCCCGGACGATGTCTTCGCTCTCGCTCAGCACCTGACACTCCTCGGGGCTCCGTTCCGCCGGCGGCTTCCTCCAGATGCGGGAAACCTGCCGGGCACACGCAGCGTGTCACGGCAGTCCGGCCGCGCGGGCAGACCGAGGGGCGCCGCGCCGTGCCGTGCCGTACCTGTCTCCGCCGGTCTCGCTGCTCCTCCTGCTGAAGGATCTCGGCGCGTGCCGCCGCCTTGCGCTCCGAGCGGCTGAGGCTGCCGCCGGCCGCCATCGCGCCGGAAGCGCCCCACTTCCGCTGTCGGACGCCGGACGCGAGAAGCCGCTTCCTCTCGGAGAGCGCGGCCGAGCGCCGCTTCCGGCCCCTCCCGCCCGCGGTGCGCAGCAGCGCCCCCTCGCGCGGCGGCGAACCACGCCGCAAAGGAAGCACCGGGCCGTGGTGTTTGAAAGCTGTTTATTGTCATGTACAAAACAACGGCGGCCGCGCCGGCAGACGAACACTATGTACAGCAATAAATAACGCCCGCCGTCGCCGCGCGGGGCAATAACTTAGCAATAAATACCGCCTCCCGCCCGCCAACCGCGGCCTCGCTGCACCCCACCCCCGGACAGCGGACAGACCCGGGGCCGGGACGGGCCAACGGCACGGCGGGTCCCGCCGGAGCCCCGCGGTCCCTTCGGGCGGTGCTCGTCTGAGGGCGGCGCCCCGCCGGGCCCGGAAAGGGCAGCGCGGCGGCTCCGACCTCGGCCCTCGCGCCCTCCCCGCCCCGCTCCCTCGGGACGGCGCTGCCCACCGGCGCAGCACGACGCAGGAGTCACTCGACACGATTCACCACACGATACACAAAGCCCCGCCCGGCCGGGCCGCTGCAGGGGACACGCTTCATGGTTCCTTAGAGGGCGGCTGGGGCCGGGCCCCACCTCTCAACCACTGCATCAAAAATGTACCGGGAAAGGAGAAAGAAAACACAACACCCTTCACAGCAGGAAACCGAACGGACGAGCACCTCAGGAACAAGAACTGCCACACTCCAGAACGCTATATACGAGAGAGAGAGAGATCAGAGCGACGGGCTCGGGGCAGGGCCGCCTCACGCAGGCATCGGGTGCCGGGTGGTGAGGACTGCGCGCCCTGAACGTGACGGGAGATTCTTCAGACACCGCAGAAATACATTACTCAGATTCCAATACTTCACTGAGAACAAAACCAAAAACACCACGCCAGTACGGGGAAGCAGCACCCGCAAAGAGGAGCACATCCCCTCCTGCACCTCTAGGATGGAGCCAGACAGAGCGCTTTGTGAGCAGGGAACCATCTCACCCGCAGAGCTGGTTCACCACACGGGCGCCCTATGGCAGCAGCTTTGTGCCCACGCGTCCCTAAAGAGATGTGTCCTCACCGAATGCATTCAGCCACTCAAAGCAAACTGGGACCACAAGCTAGCAAGCACAGCGCAGAGGAGGAGAAATGACAGCATTCATGGCTGGTGGAGTCAGCGCTGATGCCTGTTCTGTCCTCCTCACTTGCTCCAGGGAAGCACAGACTCTCATTGGCAGCAGAGATTGCCATCCAGTAGGCAGAGAAGGATCAGGTGCAGAATACAATGGAAATGAGTTTGCCAGGGGTGTGGGACTGCCTGTCATTGCCTGCTCTGTTGATGGAGCCCTCCTCACAACAATCTCCAGCAAACGGAGACAGTTTGCACACAAAACCTTGTCTGCTCGCTCTGCAGAGGTCTGGCCTCCAGCTGGGAGGCTCTCCTGCCAGGTCAGATCTCAGGGCTCCAGGAGGGACAGGGTTGGGTTTTACAGCCTGAGCCAGCCAGAGGACTCTGTTGTGTCTCATCTCCTCCTCACACCACCCAGCAGCTGGAAGACAAAGGCTCGAGCCTAGAAGTCTGTGTGAAGTGTTGCACAGCAAGTAGCCCATCTGGTGCATAGCAAGGAAACAGCACAACACCTCAGTTCGGAGAGGAGAAAACCCATGAGCTGGATGGGGGAAGCCTGGAGGCGATGTTCTAACCTACTCTTTATCCACAAAGTTCACAGGGAAAAGCATTCCAAACAGCTTCTCCCTAAGTCAGCAATTAGTCAGTGCAAAGCTGATCTCCTCTTTCAACAAGAAATCCCATCAGCTACTCTCCTGCTGTGCAGTAGCTCTCATTAGGTGTACCTGCTTTTCAGCCCAGAGAACAGCATCAGTTCAGCTACATAAGAAACTCATCACCAAAACACACCTAGTATAGCAAACCACACTTCGCTTGTGCCATCCTTATCTGTCTCCTGTGCTCAGGTGATTTTCGACACCCAAAAGATCAAATGGACTTCACCCCCATGCCCTGATTCTCCAAAACAACTCAGTAATCAGATCGAGTCTTTCAGGAGATGAGGGCAGGGAGGTCTGTCCTAGTGTGAAAATGGAGCCTGACCACAAACTGTTTTTCAGCTGTGTCACATAGCTGTAAGTTTAGGTACCTTTACCAATACCTACAGCCATAAGTTGCACCAGGAAAAAAAAAGTAACCAAGACACCTCTCACTTTTCAGTAATATGCTGATGCTCAGCACAAGAGGCTGCAGCTTCAGGACAAGTGCAGGCCCTGCACTGCCCAAAACGCTGTCAGCCCTGCCTCTCATCAGAGGAGCCACGAGCACAGCGCGAACTCTGACCACAGGATCCACATCCAGCTCCATCTTCATTCCCCTCAGTCTCCTTCAGAACTTATATAGTTCTCCCTTGTGTTACTTCTCAGCCAGAGGAGAGCAGTCCCAATGGGAACGCATCCCCCATGCAGGTAACTCCGGGGTCAGCACTGGCTGGGCAGCAAGAGGCCTGAGCTGCTTGTGCAGAAGCGACAGCTGCAACACCCAGAGAGAGAAGCAGGCGTCCCACCAAGCCCCTCTGCAGAGCAGCGTTTTCAGGGCACGCATCGCTCCTCAGCAGCATCAGCCGTTCATTTCCACCTCTCAGAAAAACAGCATCTTTGCCTGTGTGCCAGAATCCCCCTGGAGAATTCGGAGAGATTCCAAGCGAACCTCTTGCTCGAGCTCAGAGAAAACAACAGAAGCATGAGAATGACAGCACATGGCAAAGGCAGCCACTGACAGCACCACAGCACAGCGCCACGCGGAGCTCGGAGAGCACAGAGAGCGCAACACGAGGGGACACAACGGAGCCAGCAAGATCGAGAATAAGTCACTTTTGGTACAATTGCAAAAAGATATCAAACAGGATTTGCCTCTTTTTTTTTTTTTTTTTTTGTCTTTTTTTTTTTTTTTTCCTTTTTCTAAGTTTTATAAATAAAGTCTGATAACTCTTTATAAAAACTAACCTCGGAGCCACAAACAGTTTGCGGGAGGTTCATGAGAAACTTTAAAATTATTTATTTATTAACTTCTAACTAGCAAAGTCTCCGAGAATATTTCCCCATTTCTATGGCCAAATATTCTCGCCCTCTCGGATAAAAAAAGCTGACTATAAATACGCTCTCTCTTCTGTCTGATTTTCATTTTAAACTTAGATAATTTAATAACTCTTAAAACGATGTTTCTCTTTAAATAAAAGGGCTATTTAACCACATAAACTGGTTGTGTAAACCATCACACTAGAGACACTTGATACCCTCAAAACACGGGAACAACTAGTGATTTTGGTCTTGTTCAGTGCAACACATTAGGCACAAAACCGGCCTGCAGTCAGCAATGTACCTCCCTCCCCCCCCTCCCAGACCCCATCCCATCCCCCTCCCCTCAGCTGGGGCACAGGCAGTGGGGCACACCAGCATCTTCCCATCCACCGCTGCTATCCGCACTCTACTGCAATGGAAGCCTGAAGGAAACTCACTGCTTGGGCACAGAGGCGCACCTAGAAATGAATACCACATCTATTACACAGAACACCCCAGCTGCAACTACAGGTACCGGATGAGACAAAAGCAGCAGGCTCAGGTGCCGGGCAGTCAGGCACCTGGATACACCACCTGGAAGAGTAATGAAATAAAGCCTTTGGAAGTGACTGAAAACTGGGGTTCCAGGAAGAAAGCCTCCCTCCGGGCCTCTCGCCGCGCAGCGCAGACTTCCTTTGGCCAGAACACCGAGATCTTACAGCCTGTCCCAAGGGCAGCTGAGGGCTACAGACCGCTGGGTGGGAGGTGCTGTCTGCACAGGACAAGGGAAGCATCACCACTGCTCATACCAATCTGAACACAACAAAACAAAACCAGAGCGATCAGCAGGCCAGTCCTGGGCCAAGTAGAAGGAACCCTGACCCGTGTGGGGAGGGTTTGTGCTTTGGGGATTCCAGGCTGGTTTTGTGCCTAATTGCCCTGCACAGACAAGCTCAGGCAACACTCGCTTCACTAAGACCGGGCGTCCGTTTTGGATTTCACTATTGTGATGACACTAGTGGTAGCGACCTTGCCAGGGACGAGGGGCCCCATGCTGGAGGTGAGAGGGCCCCGCACGGGGGTGACAGGGCTCCGGGCCACGGTTCTGGCGAAGTTCTGGAGTGCCTCATATTTGGAGCGGAGAGCATCGAGTTCCATTTTCATGCTGGCATTCTCAGAGGCCAGCTTCTCCACCTCCTGCTGCAGCTCTGCCTTCTGCTTCTCCAGTTCCTCCTTCTGGGTAACGCGCTTGACCCTGCAGCTGGCCGCGTAGCCTCGGTTCTTCAGCGTGCGCCGGCGCTGCTTCAGCTGGATGATCTCCTCCTTGGACAGGCCCCGCAGATGCTGGTTCAGCTCCCGCACAGACATGGTCACCAGCTCCTCATCTGTCAGGCTGGTCCCATTCTCGCCTGGCTCCCGCTTCACCTGTGAGGAGAGAAGGCGGTGTGCAGTCTGAAGCCTCGAGCAGCCGCCCGCACCCCCCGTCCTCCACCTGCTGCTTTACCTTCAAGGCCTTGTTTCCTTTGTTGGGGGTCGTCATAACACGGCAGCCACGTCAGTCAGGCTCTGGAAGAGATGGAGGTCAGGTTAGTTCCTGGGTTAGCTCTCAGCAGAGCCAGAGCCGCTGCACGGAGCCCCGCAGCAGCACCCTGTGCTGGGACACCCCCACTGCCCTCCCCAGGCAGCGCTCAGCCTGACTGCATCGGACTCACAGCGTGGCAACAGATTCCGCCCCTAAGCAGGAACTGCTGCCCTTCCACAGCCCTACAACCACGGAGACTTGTAGCAATGCTGTTTTTTGTTTGGGGCGGGGGGGGGGGGGGGGAATTAAAAAACTAGGAGGAGCCAGAATACACGGAAGCCACATTTTTAAAAATAGCCTGGCAGCAGCAGCCAGGTCCGGAGCACGCCTGCTCAGGGCCAGTCACGCTGACTCAGCACGCCAGCAGCCCGCGCCTCTGCTCCCAGCTGCATCCTCACAGCCCCTGAGCACAGCACAGCCCCACACACCCGCTGCCCAGCACAGCCAGAGCTGCCCAGAGCGAGTCCTGCCAGACCCATGATGCTCCCAAGGACACAGCCTGGCACAGTCCAGGAGCACATCACCGGCAGTGAGTGGAAGGGACAGCTTCACCTGCACGGGGCACTTGTGAGGTGCTGAACACAGCTGCCACGCTCATTCCTCTCCAAACTGTGGGTGCTCCCCAGCAAAGCCAGAACAGCTGGATTACAGTCTGAGTTCTGCATCCAACTCTTCCTGTGGGGAGGACGGGCAGCCCAAACCCACGGCTCAGTGCTGGGGCTCACAGGAATCCCATTACTGATCTAACAAAAACCTCCAGAGCCCTCCCTGCTCCTGTCACCCAAAGCTGACCTGCAGCCGTACACATTTCCCATTGAGGCAGCCCCTATCAGCCCCAGCAAAGCCAGGACAGCACCACCTTCTCCCTTCCTTATCTTCAAAGCTGAGAGATAAGAAAACAAAGATCAAGGGAGGCTGAAACTGGAGGGGAGCAGACTCTTCCACTGCCAGGGAGGACAGCATTCCAGATCGATAACAGCAGCTCCTGGGGCTGTCTCCATACAGAGGCATAGCAGGGCTCCTGTCCCTATGCACCTCCTCCCCTCACACCTCAGGTCAGAATGTCACTGCACCCCAACAAACTGAATCCTCAACAGCCACGTCCATCCCACACAGCCCGGCACTGCCTCCGTGCAGGTGCAGTCTGCAAGCACCTTTGTACCTTCCGTGCCAGCCAACAGCAATTCTGTTCGCTGCTCTTTTGTTTGCTAGACGTAAGAGGCAGAGTTGCAGCCAAGACCCAGCTGTACAGTCAGCAAATACGGATTTTTGCTCCTCCAGCAGCTGCAGCTCAGGCTCCCGCAATGCACCCGGTGCTGACTGCTAGAGGTGAGCAGGATCAGCGCTGTGCAGGACACGGAGCAGAGGAGCACAATTCAGATGCTCCCAAGGCCGGAGCCTGCCAGGAGGTGGCTATTTATACCCAGAGGACAATGTTCCTTGCAGCACGATGTCCGTGACAACCTGACAGCGCCATAAGGGTCACTTTGCCACCAAGGGAGGTGGCTGCAGTGGGGGGAGCACACGCAGACTTCTGCCTCCTGAAATCAGTTCTGCGCTTTCTCATGCCGTTCTTTTTCTTTCTTGTTTCCTGCACCCTCCCCTCACACCCCATCAAACAAAATGGCCGCTGGAAAAAGGGGCAGAAAGAAGAGAATAACTGGGGAGAGGCATAACACCGGCCCTGCAGAATCCTCTGACTGCACACTGGGGTCTGTATGGCTGCAGAAATTCGTACCCCACAGGGCTAAATGGTTCCCTACCGCTAGGAAATACTAAAACTTCCTTCATTGCAGCAGATGTGAAGAAATAAACACTGCATCAGGCTGGGCACGGGGGGCAGAGCAGGGCAGGGAGCTCATACAGCCCTGACCTCAGAGTTCATGCTCACTCTGTACCTCACACCGTCTTTTCTGCTAAGAAAAATACATAAACCCACAGATACAGACACAAAAGGACGGGCCAACAAGAGCCACTGTGCAGAGCAAGTGTAGAAATGTGAGGGACCAGGTGGAGGGACGTGGCTGAGATGGGTGCAGGGACCCAGAGAGCTGTGATGGGGTCAGGAGAGTGCTCCCCAAGCCTGAATCACAACATCACTTCTGTTGGACATGAGGGCTGCAGCGTCTGTACCCGAGGAACCGGGCAGTGTGTGCTGTGTTCTGGGAGTGGCTCTGAGACGGGGCTGTGCCTGAAAGCAGCACCAGTTTGGACCCCCCCCGTTCCCTACCAGAGACCCAGCACAGCAACACTGGCAACACGAGGGTGATGGGAAGGCAGCAGACCCGGATGACACTGAGCCCAGACACAGCCCGGCTCTGCAGACCACTGATTTCTCTGCTTTTCAGAGGTTCCCGAAGAAAGATCGCACTGAAAAGTGCCAAACGCGATGACTGCAGCGAAGAAAATGCCGCCTCAACACATTTCCCCGGCGTTCAAAAGCACTGAGCTCAGCACGGCCGCAGCCAATTCCCCCCCAACACGGAGCGCACCGCGCGGGGCCCTTCCTTTCCCGGTTCCCCGTTCGCTGCCCGTTCCCCAGCGCGGCGCCGCGCCACGCGCGCACTGTAAACACGGTGACGTCGCCGGGGCGCGGGGCAGGGCCGGGCGCGGAGCTCTCCTCCCCCCCTCCCCCCCGGTGCGGGATCCCCATTCCGTTTATTCGTGGTTTTTTCCTACGCGTGCACAAATGGCCTCACACAGCCCTCCCGGAACTCAAACGGCCCGCACTTTCCCTCGTTGACCGGCATCAGAGCAACGCCACCGCCCCTCCCGCGGGACCCCCGTGACCCCGCAGCCGCCACCGCCGCGGTGACGGGAGGGCTCAGCGCGGGAGGAGCGCAACGGCCCGAGCCCCGCGCCGAGGCCTCGGCCTTCACAGCCCCAACGCCCGCCGGGACACCGGGGGGAGCGCGGGGCGGGGCGGGCGGAGCGGCGGGGCCCCGCGCACCTGTTGCTCGGCCGCGGCGCGAGGACCGGGCCGGGAGCGCCGCGAAACGAGCGGAAGCCGCGGCCCCGGAGCCCCCGCCGTGAGTCAGCGGCGGCCGCCCCGCCCCCGGGGACCGGCCCGCCGCGCCCGCC